AGAGGCAGCAGCGTGGCAGATAAAGAGCCAACAGGCATACTTCTCTGTCCTGGGGGCATGTGAATGTTAATTAACTCTGTAACCTTTTGTTTCATTAGGCAGAAAGCATCCTAGGGCTTCAAGACCTGAAGGTCTTTCTCTGTGAAACCTTGCTTGATTGTGGAAACTCTTATCTCCTCTGACTGGCTGGGGCTTGTCCTACCAACCTCTCCCCACCACCCCCCCAAACACACACACACACACACACACACACACACACACACACACACTCTCTCTTTCTCTCTCTCCCCCTCCCTCCCTCTCTCTCTCTCTCTCGATATCTCTCGCTCTAGCTCTCCCTCTCTCAATCCCCACCAGCCCTCCACAGGCCTCAGCCCATCCTTCCTTAAGAGCATAAAGTTTATCCCCCCTGCTAGTCTGATTTGATAGCACCTTGATTTCCAGGTGGCTGTCTGACCCACAGACCAACTCATGGCGCCGAATGTGTCAATCTACTTTTGTGAGACACCAGATCCAATCAAAACGCCTCTAGCCCCTTCCACGTCTGGCAGCTTCAGACTGCACGAGCTTCACGAAGGAGACATACTTCATTCAGTGGTTTCTTGGCTCTTTTCAACCTAATCTGACATAGTCATCTCTTTCAAAAAAAAAAAAAAAAATATATATATATATATATATATATATAGTTACCAAATTTTTTACTTTGTTTTCTGCTTTTGTGTTGCAGAGTTAATGATCAAAATAAGCATCAGAGTTCCTCACAACTATAATTTTTCCCCCTACACTGTCAACACCCCTTCTCCGTAGTTCTCACTCCACACTCACACAGATTATTAAAGCTCATTTCACAAGTGGTTCCAGTTGCTTTTTAAGGATTTTTCCATTCTGCGTTTCCCCCAGGGCAGCGAGGGAGGCTGGCCAAGGGAGATTCTCCAGGAGTTCGCCCTCTGTTTCCTTTATAGCAGCTGAGAAAGGCAGAGCCCTCCAGGAGTGAGCTTCCCAGGCCTGGCGGGAAATGCCAAAGGCTGGGGGATGGGGATGACGAGGTAGAGATTAATATTTTTAAAGAGGAAAAATCATGCATGAAATTACTCAAGACAAGTTTTATGGGATCCAGTCGGAAGTGATGATTTCACAACGGGGAATCATACACAAAATCTAAAAATGCTTGAGAATTTCATTTCCTTTAACTACAAAAACAAAAACAAAAGCAAAAACAAGCCCATCACTCAGCGGCTCTCCCATCCCCATCTTTCTGCCAGCAAGGGAGAAGCCTAAAAAGGCAGTTCCTGAAGTCGCTCCTCGCCCTAAGCCCTGATTTTGACCGAGCCCATAAACTGTAGAGCCTAGCAGGGTGCCTGGCCCAGTGAAGCAGGTTCACATCATGGTAGATCCCTGAACAACGTGGCAGATGAGGCACCAAGCCCTGCATAGTCAAAAATCCCCATATAACTTTTGACTCCCCCCAAAACTTTACCAACAGTCTGCTCTTGAACAGAAGCCTTCCTGAGAACATAAAGTGATTAACACATTTTGTAGGTTTCACGTACTATCCTTACAATATAGTAAGCCAGAAGAAAGAAAATGTCACTAAGAAAACTGTAAAGCAGAGAAGATATGTTTATCATCCTGTACTGTCTCGAAAATAACCCATGCGTAAGTGGACCAGTTCGAACCCGTGTGGGCTGAGGGTCGACTGTATTCCCATCCGCTCTCTACCAATCATCTGATCTCGCAGGTGCAGGAATTTCATTGTCATCTCCCAAACACCCTCCACTCTTCCTCTCCTTCCCTGCTGTTGTTCAGATGTTGTCATTTGCTTTCCTTCCTTCCAGGTTCCTTGGAGAATGATCAGAGTACACGAACCAATGGCAAGTAGGCACGACACAGGAAAGGCCAAATCAACACCCTTGAACCATACCTTCTCAGAGGGCCGTGGGGACCAGACCTAATTCATGACTTGACATCATGACTGGCACGGATAGATGTACACAGTCATCGCCAGGGGCCGCCACACCATACAAGCGCCCACACCTCGCACTTATCTAAGTCCTGTCAGGCCACCAGCCGTGTAGCACGTGGCCTGAAGCGATGTGCAGACCATCAGGAAGTTCTCAAAGCTTGTTTCCGTGGGGGCCCTTTCTTCCTACATACCGAAAAACAAAGGCTCACCGAAAAATAATTAAACCCGACTTAAGGTTCTTGCTGCTTTGTGTGTCAGAATAAAACAAGACTGAAAGAAATCTTAATAGGATTGCAATCAGATCTCACATTCCTTAATCGCGTATTAGAGTCTTAGTTGAAACCAGGTTCAGTGTAACTCGGAGGAATCGTTCTTTCTTTTCAGGAAAAGCGAAACTAAAGCAGGACGGAAGCTATGGCAAATGAGCCTGGCTCCTGTTCCCAGCCCCGACTGTGGCCCAGTCTTCCCCTCCTCAAAGCCTGGCTTGAGCTCTCATCCTACTCCAAACCCCAAGAGCACCCCTCCTCTGAGCCTTCTGTTTGAACACCCCAAACCATGTTCTTTGCTGCTGGTTGGTTACAGAAGGAGTATAAACTCCCCAGCACTTAGGGACCAAACCCCTCCACTTTTTGCTGATAAGCCCAGAGCTAGTCAGATGAATTAATAATAGCTACTCTTTACACCATGACTACTGGTTGTCATAGGAAAAGCCACATTTTGTAGAAGGTGGGGGTTTAGAAAAGGATTTTTCCTAAGACTGCTTTCATTAGTAAGCTAAGGTCCTTCAGTGAGGTTAAAATAGGATTCCCTTTTGACAAGTTAGATGAACATACATCTGTTGTATAAAGTAGGGTGTGCTGTTGTTTTCCCACACAATGGTGGCATGGCCGAGATGGGACAGAGTTGCTCCTATACCTGTGGCTATCTGATATCGACCTGAAAAAAAGACTTAGTGGATCTCTGAACTACTAAAGTCCCTTCTCTCCCCAGCCCCACTCTCCAGCCACCCAGATCCTAATCTCCATGTCAGTTTGGTTATTGTTCTGCCATAAAGGAAATCCATGGTGTTACTCAACACCAATTTGTGCTCCATGCAATGAGGAGTCTTAGCACTGACGTTCTGTAATACACAGAGGAGAACACTGTTGACACGGAAGATATTCATTTCCTTACTCATTCATTAAGGGTGTAGGAACGCTGACCCTCCACTATAGTTCCCCAAGGACGTAGGGCCTCTTGGCAATGTGTCCAAAGAAAAAACATCAGTGTGGCTCCCTACCCAGGAAACCATCTCAGACAGTGGAAGAGACAACTACCAGTTAGGGGTAGGGCAAGAGGGGAAAGATCCCCCACAGAAGGGACACTGTTCTGGGTCAGGCAAGAGGGAGAGAGAGTATCAGTCTGATATCAGGACAAGGTCCCACTGCAGTGGGAGTTCCAGAGACCAGATGCCAAGTCCATCTCGGCCAAAACAAAGTGTCTTATGAGCAAAGGACTTCTACTCCTCTGAAATCTGATTTTCTCACTGGTGCAAAAAGTAGAGAAAAGAAGAATGTGGACCATATGATGGATCCGTTTTTCTCATGTTGAGTTCTGCATATGTGCACATACGTGCATAGACCCACAAACATTGGGAATTATATAAAACATGTCCAACACAAGGACTGCCGATGAGCCCTGTGCTTGTTTGGAAAAGGGATTTCCAGATTTTCAGGTGTTCCTCATTCTCCTGAGCGATCAGAGAGTTAGGAGAAATGCCATTAGACCACTGTTTCTCAGTGTGAACTAAGCAGTGGTATGGGTGAAGCTTGAGAACAAATAATTGGGAAATACTAGATTAAATGAAGATAACTTTTTTTTTTTGTCCCATTGTAATTCTCCTCAGGGACTTTAATAAGCAAGTGTATGCTGAGACAGTCTAAAAGAAGTCAGACTGCAATTTCCCAAACCATGGGCTATAGAGTCCTTTAGGCTTAAGAGTTTCTAGAGGGATGAAGATTCAGAGAAATACCCTTTGAGAAATAGTGTACCAAAGAGACTCTCAGGGACTGGGCCTTGCTTTACCACTGTATCTCCACACCTGGCACATGAGAAGAATTCTATCAAATGTAATTAAAATAAAAATTTGCCAAATGAGCAAACGAAAAATTGTTGAATTCAAAGTGGAAGACTGTCATCGCAGTGACTGTAGAGATGGGAGGATGCCAAGGAGCAAGGGATCGTCTCTCCAGGATGGCGCCCTTTACCGTCTAAGCTCTAGAAAGGCACAGGGAGGAATTTTGGGTAAAGTTGCTTGTGCCTTCTCAAGAAGCTAAGGGCTACAGACCCATAAGTCATCCTCAAAGACTTTAACTTTCTTTTTTCCCCAAGAAGAGGTAATAAAATAAGAGCTTCATGAAGAATGTTGGCATTTCTTTTCTTTACTAAGTTAAAAAAAATCAATTACGATACTCATAGGTCAGACTCCATAAGGCAGTTAACAGATTATTTTCGTTTCTTTACTGCCACCTTCTGGTTCCCAGGCTCCTACACAGTAAATTTAAAACACCTTCTGTTCCTATTTTGCTTGGGCATTGTAAGCATTTGTCCACAGCCTTTGCCTCCTAGGACATTATACAAGTCAGAAGTGGTTAGGGTGGCCTTCATGCTTTTTCATTCGACCTGAAGGCAACGGGGAACTTAAGTGATTGGCCTACTGATAGAAAATTAGGAGCAGAGCAAGGACTAACCATGCCTGTTGGTTTTTCCAAGGAGCAAACACTGGCTTTGTCCAGTTACCTCTGCAAAGAGTTCTACTGCCCTCTCATCCCTCCACAAGCACAACCTTGAATGGAAAATTCCATGCTCTTAAAAAAGACGATGCTGTTCAACACACCCTGATCTTTTCAAGGGTAAAATCCATTCCACTTTGAAAGGCCTATGAAAAAATACCGTAGAGGGTCTACAGTTGATTTTTTAAAAATCTGACATCAAGATGCCATCTCATTATACAGCACTACACCAAGATGGCGGCCCACTATTTTCTTCTTAGTCATACCTTGGTCTGAAAGCAGCAATAGAGTTGGGTTAGGTACGGGTGTTTCCGTGCCAGTGCCAAAATCCTCTTCTCTGTCATCGTGCAGTCCACGTCATCATCCTGGAGGATGACATCCTTCTTTAAGACCTTCACAGCATATACTTCATCCTTGCCTTTCAGCTCTGCCAACATGACCTGCAATGGACCCAAACCACTGCCATCAATCTACACACACGGAATCAAAAGTAAAAACGCCAAGTCAATACCAAAGGCTTTAAAAACTAACTTCTTTTTTTATTTCATTTTGAACACCCTAACATTAAAAAATGTTTAGAAAAACTACCCATCCTAATAGAGCTACTATAATTCATTTATTGATGTTTCATCTCCAGCATAGGGCCCATGCAAAGAAAAAAGTTCAACACACATCTGTGAAATAATTCTTCATATGCACATGCATCATACTTGCAATTACAGCACTGCACAAATAATATTTTTAACTGACATTAATAAGGACTTATCATCCACATTGTCATTATCATTATCAGGGTTGCCTATACTCAACTGAAGTAAACATATTACAATTTATTTAACCCTTTACCTTGTATTAGATAATTAAGTGAAACCTAATTATTAAGTATCATAGGAGTAAATCGGATTGAGCATTTTTGTATATACCATTTTCTTTTCTTTCTTTTTTTTTTTTTTTGGACCATATCCTCAAGCTAGAAATTCTTAGAAGTAGATTATGAGGTTAAATATTTTGCACATTTCTTGAGTTTCAGAAAGGATGTACAAAATAATCTGCCACTGGGAATGGAGGGATGCTCTAGTTTTATGGCAATGTACCCACATTGGGGGCTTCAACTTAAAAAGTGTTTTTGGGGAAAAAAAAGTATTTATGCTCATATAATGGGTATGAAATATAACCTCAACACTGTTTTAAGTTGCAATGGAACTTTTTAAAGAAATTTTCCTTAAATTGTTTTTGTGTGAACTGTCAGTTTTATATTCACAATAACTCTGTCTAGTTCTATGTATTGTCTTATACTATTTGCTTATGAATTTGTGCAAGTTTGGTATACAATGATACTAACACTTGGCATTCTGCAAAGGTTTGTCTAAGCCTGTTTGATGATCTTCTGTTTGACAGCAAACAGGATCACCTGTCCTTACGCAGCTAAATCTGTCAGGTCTGCCTTAGTGGTCCTGTAGCCTTCACGCTCAGAATGTGATTCCTTCTCCAGAGAGCACATTCACAGTTCTCTGAGCTTCAGGTTTTCCTATCATTTGATATTTCTGCACTCATTTCTCTGCAATGTGACAAGTCTTCCTCCTTTTAAGCAACCATCTCCTAAGCCCAGTATTCCAGGGTGAGCTGCCAGGCTCAAGAGCGGTAACTCAAAAGCTTCAAGAAAGAATTCAGGGCGCTTCCTGAGGAATGTTCATCTCCTACGCGTAACGTAAAATCTTTAACGCTGGCTCAAACGCTGCCTGCGATTCTTCTTAAAAAACAACCTAAATGGTCCACAGTCATCCAAGTTCGCATCCTGCCTACACAGTATGGCAACCTGGAAACTCTGAGCCTGCCCGTTTCCCTTGACTCTTGTTCAAAATTAAACCCACCCCCATTCCCCAGTTACGCCTGGACCAGGGCACTGGGGCCAGTTTTTTAGTGACTCAGTCTCTGAAGAATGTGATTGCTTCAGCATCTGCATTTAAGTACACTCCTCAGGTTACCTTCCTACTACAGAGATGTCAGGAGGAGATGGGGCAGGTGAGGGGCTGGGAGGAAGGCCCACGCCCTGGAGGCTTCCAGAGCCATTCCCTTCAGCAGAGCAGCTCTGCAGCTCAGGTCGCTGGCTGATCTGCAGGCTGCTGCTTTCAAGAGCCAGGACACGGGCCCAAGAACAGGGCGTGGAAAGGCAGCTTCCAGCGACTCCATCTGTGCGGAGCGCGAGGGAATGATCAGGGATCCCTGCTGAAGTGTTAGCCACAGTATCCCGGGCCCTCTGCCCTCCTGTCTTCTTTCTAAAATGCACAAGGATTATCTCCCCACATCACTAAGCCATCAGAATGGGGCCTGATACCCCAAAAGCTTCACTCGGCACACACACACTGCATGGCTTGGCTTGTCTCCGTGTGGGCCAGGAGAGGGAGAACGGTTTTAAGATTTTAAGATTTTAAGATCCAAGCCAGGAGATGATTATTCTCATTCTCTTGCCACACACACAGGATAAACAACCTTCAGTAAATGCCAGAAAAGTCAGTTAAATAGCATTTAACTTTCAAAATAATACATGCCCAGAGTTGCTCTGAGCCCGAAGTTCACGGAGGGCAGGGATTCCAGAGTTCATTTTCAAAGTCTTGGTCCTGAATTAAAGCCAGAATTTCAGATGGATCTCTGAAGGAAGGAAGAAATGCAGTGCTACCATGGCCAGTAATGGGGACTCCAAGACACGTAGAACAATTGAAATATTCCCACATGCCTTTTTTTTTCCCTTTACCCACGACCTTCCTTGATACCTGTGGCCCCATTTGACAAATGAGAAAAACTGAGTCCCGGAGAAGCTAGGTGACTACTAGCTGGAAGTCCCACAGCTAACAAGCAGCAGATCCCTGGCTCCCACCTGCTTGGCCGCAGGCCGTTTCCATGGAAGAAGGAAGGAAGACGCGACAAGACCAGGCTGAAATGTTCACAGCCTCATCTTCCTTAGATCGGACAGATGAGGCAACGCCACGGGGCAGAGAGAGTCAGCGGGTGTACGCGCGCATGCCACAGACCTTGCCAAAGCTGCCTTTGCCCAGCACCTTGATGAAGGTGAACTCCTCCAGACCCAGGCGCTTGGCCTGGCCCTGCCGCACTTCGCCGTTCTCGCCAGGGCTCGCCAGCTGGCCCGCACCACCTGCTGCCCGGTGCTCCTCCCCTCGATTGTCAAAAGACAAGGCCTTCCGGATGTTGTTTTCAAGTTCTTTTATTTCTAGGGCCAAGGGAGACAAGACCTTGCATTAGTGCATACCTCAGGCTCCCTTCCCAGCAGGCCACAGGCCCCAGACCACCCTCCCCGACCTCCCACCGTAGGGTCTCAGCCCGCCAGCAGATGCAGCATGGCAGCCCTCCACGGGTTCCTTCACTTGCTCCCCATGCTTTCGTGGGCACCTAGCCCACAGCAGGGCCTAGGGAGGCAAAGAGGCCGAGGACACAGCTCCCCACGGCCAACACTTTCAGATTACGCAGAAACCCGGCCCTCTCTCCGTAAGCCCCCTCTGGCCAGTGGTCTGTTCTGTTATGCCAGGCGTAGTGCAGGAACCCCTGCCTTCTCTGGGACCCTGCGGAGTCTCAAAGACAACAGGCTCCCTTCAAACTCCCTCTGAAGATGATAGCAATGGCCGATCGAGAATTGTTATCGCAGTAATCACGGGTGGTCCAGCTGTACCAGAAGCTAGGACTGGGAGGCCCCGGACTTGTAAAGGACTTTACTTGGTCTCACTGGTGCGTTTACTCTACTGCCCATCTCCCACAAGGGTATTCAGCCAAATGAGCCACGGGCTTCTCGTTACCTGAAGAACTGCTGTCCGAGAGTGACGTGTTGCGAATTTATCTCAGATGGGGCAGGGATTCCTCAGTACAATTTCACAACCACGGGGCAGTCCCGTGGCCCTGCGGAGCACATGACCTGAACTACCCTGCCGTGATAACACTGGATGACCCTTTGACCTTTCCTGTTTGAGCAAGCTTTATTGTTAGCTGTTCATTCACCAAGACACACATGCCTCTCAGTGCAGAACTGGGCACCACAAGCACAATCCGATTTTAAGAGATGCTTGTGAAAAACTGGGAAGATGGAAGGGGAATGCAGACTATTAACACTTGGGAATCAGAATGAGGCATGAAGACCTGGTGTTGCTTGACAGAAAGAGATTTTCAGCTTCCCTGCACAAGGATGGAGGCCCATGATAGCTTGTAAAAGGAATCTGGATCTTTCTTAGATCTGCTGGGGTGGAGGGAGGCGGGGAGGAGCGCAGGTGGCTCCTGAGTCTCAGGCTCTGCCTTGCCAAATCAGCCACTTCTTAGCACTTTTTCCTTACAAAGTATAACTTCTAGTCTCAGCAAACAGCTAAAGGTCTCAGCTTCCAAGGCAAACTATGAAACGGATTTTGGAAAACAGAACTTGGGTGTTTAGGGATTCCAAAGCTTGAAGAAAATGTCATTACAACGGAAGGAAAAGAAACTGTGTGTTATCTCTGTCCTGTGGCAATGCCACGTCTTGCTAAGAGGATCTTTGCATCCATCAGTGCCCACACCACTGACCTGAGCTGAGACAGGCACAGGCACTACAACCTGCCAGGTCTGGGAGCAGCCAGGCCTAGAAATGACACTCCCCCTCGCTCGTCCTGGGGACAGAAATGCTGTCTCCTTGAAGCTCTCAAAGGAGGTCTCGGCACTCAAAAGGACGCATAAAAACACCCACATGGGCTGCAGGATAACACCTACTAGTTCGGAGGCCCCAGCCAACCACTGGATTACTTATAAATGGGTCAAATCCTTTTTGGAATGAAGCAGAGTGTAAAGATGCAGGAAGCTAATCAGAGCAACAAGGAGAGAGACTCAGACCCATTGCTCTGTGGCGTCAGGATGGGCACACGCACCCTGCAGCTGTTTTGATCACTCCTGGCTAAGCCGAGGTGGGTCACAGCAATGACACTCAGGGAGGGTTTGAGGGCACAGATTCTGAGATGGGGGTCCCAAAACCAGGAGGGGAATGATCTCACCCTTAACACAGACTTAGTTCCAGACCTTTGCACAGAACTTTTTGAGACTCTGATCTTCACTTCCCAGCCTGTGACACAGGGACAGGGACAGGGATGAGGCATCACAGAGTCGGTGTGAGTGTAAGATTAAGATAATGAACGCAGGGACGCCTGGGTGGCTCAGTTGGTTAAGCAGCTGCCTTCGGCTCAGGTCATGATCCCAGCGACCTGGAATTGAGTCCCACATTGGGCTCCTTGCTTGGCAGGGAGCCTGCTTCTCCCTCTGCCTCTGCCTGCCACTCTGTCTGCATGTGTTCACTCCCTCTCTCTAATAAATAAATAAAATCTTTTTTAAAAAGATAATAAACGCAAAGAGGCTACAGAAAATCAAGGCCCACTTGTCACACAATGATGATTACTCTTGCTCTGCAGAAGCATGAATCCCTTTCTGGGGACATCTGGACCCCAGAAGGGAAAGTTTGAAACCTGTTAGTCTCCCTTCAGCATTCTGGGATGCCTGCAGCATTCAGAAACTTCAACTTCGTTAAGCATATTCATATGAGGAAGAAGGAAACCTGAGCTTTGGGAAAGGGTTGGGCCTAGAGCTGGCTTCCTCCCTCCTCTCACTCTGTTCTTCCGCTTCCTGCATCTGTCCCTGCCCATCCACAGGCCACAGCAGGAGGTGGCCCCTCTCCCCCAACTCTTGCCCTATTCTCAGGTTTCAGGGGTGATGATCAGAGTCAGGATGGAGGGAAGTGGCACTCAGCTGAGTGGCATGGTGGGTGGAAGGACAGGTCTGGGAGCAGGCCCCGGGCACCTTCCTACACCTGGAACCCTGGACAGAGGTGAGGGTAAAGAAAGAGCTAGAACATCACGTGCTCTTTCTCTCTTACCCTGGCCTGGACAGGGTTTACGGCAAGCACAGCAGTTCAAAGTGTCTGTCCCTCAAGACAGCCTTGCAGAGAGAAAGACCAGCTAAAGAGTCAGTAGGGAGAGGGTGTCTGAAGGCCTTCCTGGGCCTCCATTCCAGCTAACAAGGGTGGAACAAGGGTGGAGAGGCCTCAGCCTCCTCGGGCCTTCCGATGACATGGCTCAGAGGTAACAGGGCCAATCTGAGGGCCTCACCCTGGTCACAAGGGGACGTGGGTGCTGACTTGGATCGATCTTCCTCCGATGGTGAGCTTCCAGAAGTGGGCTGTGGGGACTCAGCGCCGGCAATGAGCTAGAGGGAGGGAGAGAAAGAGGGGAGACGTGAGAAGGGAGGGTGGGAGCTGCCCCGAGGTCAGAGGCGCGGAGGCGCTGTAGGGAGCCCGGCACCCAGCAGCACTTGCTGAACTGACATTCTGGAAGCAGACTCAGGTTTCATTTGACAGTGAAAGGGAAGACAAGAGACTGTGCCGGGCCATGTATGCAAGTGTTGGGTCACTCCACTGTACACCAGAATCTAATATTACACTGTATGTTAACTAACTGGAGTCAAAATCAAAACTTAAAAAAGAGAGAGGCTGCAATTTGTTCGATTTTCATTCTACCCAAGCATACCTGTCCCCCTTCCATCAGAACCTCCCTCGCCTGTGCAAGCCAAACAAGTTACTACACCTAAAGCAATTCGACATTTGCCTCTAACACCTGTTGGGCATTTATCCATCGTCTTGTTCAGCTGTATTTAGCTAATGGCCTCTGCATGTGGATATTGTGTGGAGCACTCTGCTCAGGCAGACCACAGGCTCTGGTCTGTAGTAGAAATAATTAATAAATAAATAAAATATATAAATATAAAAAATAAATAAAAAATATTTACTGAGCTTCATATTTTTAGATGTGTCGAAATTGGTTGGCAAATTTTAATACAGCACCCCCCAGTGAAGTCTAGTGAGATGCTGACACAGCATGTTAAGTTCCATTAAAGTAAGAGGTTTGGACTAAGCGGTCACACGCAGTTCTGCTCTGTTTTACCCTTGATCTCCAGCCGGCTGCACATGTCCTCTCTGCACAGTGGACCACTTGCAAGGGCCAACATGAAGACAAGCAGCGCTCTGGCAAACCTGATGCTCCTGCCAAGAAGCCCTTTTAGCTTCTGACCAAGGGCACTTCTCTCCCTTCCTCTCACACGAAGCTGAGCTACTACTTGGTCAAGTGGCTTTTTCCAGCCTTTGTACCAGAAGCAATCCAGCAATAAAAATTTCAGAATCCTCTGGTCTTTAACTCGTCTCTTCCTGAATTTCTCCATGTTGGCTTCTTAACACGAGGTTCCCCCCAAACTAAGACAGACAGATGATGCCTCGTATTGGCGTCATGGCCCATGTAAATCGCGGGGGAGAGAGCAGATGTGTATTGTGTTTTCTCTTAAATGTTTCATGATAATTAATTATGATTCTGTCTCAATTTCCTTCTAGCAAGGAGAAAAGTCATTCTCTCCCATGAAGGACTCTCCCTAGAGCTCATAAATGTGTGTGTCCGACATTGTCATGACAGGGTATTTGCTTAACCTGCCGCTTTGGTGGAGGCATAGCATTCTTGGATGCTGACATTTTGCTTGCAACTGCGACGTCTGGGGTCAATAACCGAAGCTCTGTTTCCACTCGTGGGATTTACAGAGCTAAGAGCCACCAGAAGCACAAAATCTCATAGCTAAGCAACCAGGGAGAAGAGGATTCTTTTTTCCCAACCCTTGCAAATCAGCTTTGCTTATTGGGCAGGTAGAGAGGGAGGAGTTTAAGAAGATAGAAAGAATCAAAACCTCTCCATTCAAGGGAAAGGGCTCTTCTGAGATGCACCCTGAAACAGACTTGCTTTTCTGGTAAGTGCTTGAGAATGCTTGATAATAGGTAATGAGGATCACTGCCTGCTCCCCATCCCCACCAGGATTTCTTGCCCAGTAAACATGGTTCTGATTTTCTTATAACTTGCTCTCTTAAAGACTTACATTTTCTGGGCTGGAAGCCAAGGCCAGGAAGGACCTTCAAAAGAAATGGTATGGATGCTGTGAGCTCTGTGTACATCTGTGGGCCCTGACTTAAAAGAGCATCTCAGCAAATGGATCTCTTCCTACTGACATTCAGAATGTCACATGGATAGAGACAGGGGGCTTTGGTCTCCAAAGAAAGGCCCAGCTGTTTCATGTGGTGGGGCATTAACAATATCCCTTGGACGGCACTACCACAAATCTTCTTGGCCTGCTCCCTAGAAAAGAATGTGGTCCCAGATCTTCATCCCTGTATCCTCATTACCATGACACTAGGGGCAAAGTTCAAACACTAACATTACTTTCATGCCAGTCCTGGAGCCAGTTAAGTCTACTTCCTTGTCTAGTGTTGTGCTTTTTCTAGAGGGAATTCCGAAGTCCTCATCTCCAAGATGAGATCAGTCAGTAGGGAAAGGAACGGAACACTTGAGACTTGCTTCATTTTTCCTCCACTTCTAGAACTAAAGGAGACTTTAATGTCACCTGCCTGACCATTTTTTTTTTCATTCCCTTTCAGCTCATGCTGTGTCTCAAACCCAAGGATCTCGGAACCTCACTCCGGGGAGGTAGAGGGGTGTTCTCAGGAAGCCAGCACAGGGTTGGTGGCCTCCAAAGAGCTCCAGAAACACCTCCAAATAGCCAGTTACCTTTTTCCTCCTCTGGCCGCTGTTGGTGATTTTGTCTGGAGTGACGCCTAGGTCAGCCAGGACTTTGGCAATTCCTCTGGCGTCCACCCCACAGTTGGGGGCCACGTTGGTTTCACAGCGTCGGTGAACATTCATCTTGCAGACTGTAAGGAGACATGGAGAAGAGACTTCCAACGTTCATGACCTAAAACGTTACCTTGTTGTTGTTGTTTTTTTGTCCTGATTGTAAAAGTAATACATGTTCATTTGATAGAATGTGGAAAAACGCAGAAAGACAAAAAGTGAAAAATAGAAATCACCTGTCATCTCATCACACAGTACTAGAACAGCATCCATCAAAACACCATACAGAGATAAAACACCACACAGACTGTTTATGGATAAATATCACATTCTAGTTCCTTCTAGGAATCAGAACATGGACCATAAGAGAATTAACTGGTTTATTTGGAGAACATTCATTTGGATTCTGAGCCCAAATGGGTTGCATATATACAGTGTGCTCTACTACTTTGCTAAAATGTGGGAATATTACCAGGAGGAAAGTGCCCACAGCTGAGCCTACTGAGATGCTCATTTGAACATGAGGACATTGAACAAGGTGACCTCCAAGCCTCCTTTCAAATCTAATATCCTGATTTGAAGGAATAAAAGCTGTGCCTGAAAGTCTTTTTTTGCCCACATCATTTAATTGTCGGTGTAGGACATCAAAAGTGAAGACTTCAACTGTTCTGGTTTCCGGTCTAACATGTAAGGCTCTGAGACAATGTCGCTGGGTCTTAACAAAAATCAAAAATGCTTCTCAGATCTTCTAGAGGAGTAACGTTACAGGGCACACTGCTGCCCCCTCCATGAACGAGACATATGGGAAGCTACTGTGGACCACGACTCGCTGGGCAGAAACTCCCCAGCAACAACATCTGTGGGAACCAGGGCCGGCTCAGGGAGAGCGGATCTGAAGCTGGCCAAGTGCTGGAGTCTCAGAGTGGACAAGGCTGAGTCCAAACTCTGGGCAGATCCAGTTATAGGGGCCTCCCACACCTGTGTCAGTTTTGCTTCTCCGACTTTGACATCCAACACAGGGGAGAAAATTCCCTTATGCTTCTGCCAGGGGGAGGGGAAAAGGAACCATTTTGAAATAAACCAGAATACTCTGCTCTTAACAAGGCCTGCTTTTAGAAGAAACTATTTTACCACAGCCTAAACTATTGTAGTTTTATCAGATCCTACTTCACCTGGGGGGAGGAAAATACCCTACTCTAGCCTGTTTAGTGTCCCATGTGGGAGAAGGGAAATACCCACCCCAGCTCCTTATAGCCTTTCATGTAGAAGAGAATATCCAACTCTAGCCCACACCAGCCATCCTGCCCCACCTCAGGGGGGGAGGAAAAAGTCCCTTGTGAGTCACTTACAAAGGTCATAGTTCAGAGGCACAGGTTCATGGAAAGACTGAGATCTAATCATAGGACTAGAGAATGTTTCCCCTCACCCACACCCTCACCATCGCATTACTAAAGGCCTACTTACTGCATAGTAAATAGTTCCTTTCACCCAGCACATCATGTCTAGCTATCTGGAAAACGTTAAAAGGCATTCTAAAAAGCAAACACACGGCAGGGCAGGAATATTGGAATTATCAGACTGGGAATTGATTTATTTATTATTTTTACTGGTTTAAAGATTTTATTTATTTATCTTAGAGAGAAAAAGAGAGTGGGCAGAGGGACAGAGGGGAAGGGACAGGGACAGGTAGGCTCTGCACTGAGCTCAATGTGGGGCTCCATGTCTCCATCTTACAATCCTGAGATCATGACCTGAGCCAAAACCAAGAGTCAGATGCTCAACTGAGTCAGCCACCCAGACTCCCCTCAGACCAGGAATTTAAAACAGTTTTGATTCCTATACTAAGGGCTCTTATCAATAAAGTAGATACCACGTAGAAAAAATGGGCAATGTAAGCAGAGAGATGGAAACTCTAAGAAAGAATCAAAAGGAAATTCTAGAGATCAAAAACACTGTAAGAGAAAACAAGAATGTCATGGCTTGTCTCACTGGTAGAATGACACAGGTGAAGAAATAATCTCTGAGTTTGAGGATAGGTCAAAAGAAACTCCCAAAACAGAAGCAAAGATAAAAAAACATGAAAGAAAAGAAACGGACTATCTAAGAACTGTGGGGCTATATAAGGTATAAGGTGTATAATGGAGACACCAGATGAAGAAAACAGAGATAAACAGAAGAAATATTTGAAACAAAAATGACTCAGAATATCCGCAAATTAATGTCCGACACCAAACCACAGATCCAGGAAGGTTGAAGAATACCAAGCAGGACATATGATAAAAACAAAACACAATAACAAACGTTACCTAAGCCTGTCACATAAAAACTTCAGAAAATCAAAGATAAAGGAAAGTAATCTTGAAAAAAGCCAGAAGGAAATTATACCTGACCTACAGAGGAGCAAAGATAAGAACTGCATCTGACTCATCCCCAGAAATCAGGCAAAAAAGAAGATAACAGAGTGAAATATATAAAGCACTGAGAAAACCCCCCCGCCAACGTAGAATCCTGTACCCTATGAAATTATTCTTCAAAAGTGAGAGAGAGGGGCACTTGGGTGGCTCAGTGGGTTAAAGCCTCTGCCTTCGGCTCGGGTCATGGTTTCAGGGTCCTGGGATTCAGCCCCACATCGGGTTTTCTGCTCAGCAGGGGGCCTGCTTACCACCCCCGCCCCCCACCGCCTGCCTTTCTGCCTATTTGTGATCTCTCTCTCTGAATAAAGTATTTAAAAAAAAAAGTGAGGGAGAAATAAAGACTTCCCTTAGATAAATAAAAATTTAGACAATTCACTGACAGTAAAAAGAAACTCTTCAGGAAGAAGGAAAACTATCAGTCAGAAACTCAGATCTACATAAAGAAAGAAAGACTACAGGAGAAGGAATAAAAACTTTTATCTTCCTTCTTCTTCACTGATCTCACAAATAAGTTTCTCAAAATAAGAGCAACTAATATATCCAATTATGTATACTTATATGTATATAAACATGGATGCTTATGTGTAAGCAAATTGACAGCACTGATATAAGGAATGGGAGGGAGAAATTATGATTATTTTGTTATTATAATGTATTTGCATGAACCTTAGAGCATTAGAGTGTTATTTGAAAGTGGATTTGGATTTGTTGTGAATGTATACTACAAACTCTGGGGCAACCACAAACATCAGTAAAAAAAGAAAAGTAACTGATATGCTAAAAAAAGGAGAGAAAATGGAATCATATGAAACATTCAACTGAAAACATAAAAAGCAGAAGAAAGTGGAAAATAATAAGAACAAAGAACAAGGACATCAAATGGAAAACAGGAGCAAAAATGGTAGTTATTATATCAATAATCACTTTAAAAGTCGACAGTCTAAATACAGTTGACCTTTGAACAAGACAGCAATTAGGGGTGTTGATCCCCCGCACTGTTGAAAATACAAATATAACATTTGACTGCCTCAAAACCATTCCCGCTAACTGTTAATAACCTTCTGCTGACTGGATGTCTTACAGATAACATAAACAGTTGAAGAGACATACTTTGTATGTAATATGTACTGTATACTATATCCTTTCAACAAAGCTAGAGAGAAGAAAATACTACTAAGAAAATAAGGAAAATACATTTACAGTACTTAAAAAAAAAACAAACACTTATAAGTGGACCCAAGCAGTTCAAACCCGTGTTGTTCAAGGGTTCACTATATGCCAGTTAAAAGAGATTGTCAGAGTGGATCAAAAAACAGGACCCAATTATATTTAATCTATAAGAAGCATACTTTAAATATAAGACACATAGAGATCAAAGGCATGGAGAAAGATATACTGTCCTAACACTAATAAAAAGAAGGCAGGAGTAGCTATATTAATATGGACAGAGCAGATTTCAGAGCAAGGAAAGTTATCAGGAATAGCAAAGGGGTCAATTCTCAAAGAAGACATTAAATCTTTAATGTGCATGCACCTAACAGCAGAGTATCAAAATATGTGAGGCAAAAACAGAACTGCAAGGAGAAACAGATGAATCCACTGTTATGTTTAGAGACGTCAACACACCTCTGTCAGAAATGAACAGATCCAGAAGGCAGAAAATCAGCAAAGGCATAGTTGAAGTCAATTGCACTATCAGTCAACCGAATAAAATTGATTACTATGTCTAGCAACTACTTCATCCAATGACAGCAGAATACACATACTTGTCAAGCTTACATGTGATACTTACCAAGACAGACCACATTCTGAGCCAAATGTAAAAAAATTTTTTAAAAAATCATACAATGTCTGCTCTCAGACCACACTGGAATTAAATTAGAAATAAAAACTAAAAACATGATTGGAAAACTCTCAAATGCTTGGAAATTAAATAACACACTGTTAAATAACACATGGGTAAAAGAAGAAATCCTAAGAGAAATTTTAAAATATTTTGAACTGATTGAAAATAAAAACACAACTCCTCATAATAAGCAGGATACAGGAAAACCATTCTTGAAAGGAACAATCTACCAAAACTCACAAAAGAAATAGATAATGTAAAAGGTGAATGTGTATTAAAGCAATCAAGTCAATCATTAATAACTTTCCAACACAGACAACACCAAGCCCAGATGGGTTGACTGGTGAATTTTACAAAACATTTAAATTAGAAATTATATCAATTCTCTATAATATCTTCTAGAAGATGAAAACAGAAGGGACATTTCAAGAAAAGACAACCACAGCTCAATATCTGTCATGAATATAAACACAAAAATCCTCCACAACAGACCAGCAAATTGAATCCAACACAGCATAAAAAGAAATATAAACCATAAACAAGTAGGATTTATCTCAGGTATGTAAAACAAGTTCAACATTTGAAAATCAATTAATGTAATCCTTCACATCAACAGGCTAAAGAAGAAAAATTACATAAACCTATAGATAGGTGCAGAAAACACATTTGGCAAAATCCAACACCCACTCATGCTCAAATCTTTTAGCAGCCAAAAAGTACAGAAGAACTTCAACTTAAAGAACATCTACAATAAATCTACAACTAATATTGTGCTTACTGATGAAAAACTAGAAGCTTTCTAGTTTTAAGTACAAGGAAA